GAACTCAAGCAATCCATCCATCCGCCTTAGCCCCCCAGAGTGCTGGGAATACAGGCATGTGCCACTACGCCCAGCTGTTGAGGTTTTAGTATCATTTTATATTGACAGTTTTCCAAATGGTAACATAAATAATAAAATATTTAATGAAGTAAAGAAAGAGAATAGAGAACTTTAGCACTTCAAGCTTGTTAGTTTGCCTGTTCACCAAAAACATGTTGAAGAGTTTTGAAGAATATACTTTAAAAATGTCTTGTTTCCCTGCCCAAGATTGACTACTTTGCCCTTGGAGGAAACAAATAGGCTCTAGAAAAGGCAGCAACAACTAACCGATAGATATCACAGAAATAAACCAACAGCAGAAGTTACTCAGACATCCCTGAAATCTGCCAAAGTACAAAAGGCAGTACATGTCTATAAAATAATAGTTGAAGAAGAAAATAAACATAAAAATCTTAAAAAAGCAAGCATCAAAAGCAGACACTTTTTCTCTAAGAAGAGAACCCAGTTCATACCAAAAAAAGGCAAAAGCAAACAGGTCAAGACAGTATAACATTGTTACACCAGCTGTAGACCATTTAGAATTGTTATGGCGAAACCATCTCCAGTCTTGACACCCAGGTTTGACACAAGAGTCTTTAAGATTCCTGGCCTGTGGCCTCTAGAAACCAGAGAGTAAATTTACAATATATTTAGTTCCCAGCTTACCATGGTTCAATTTAATATCTTTTCAGATTTACAATGGTGCAAAACTGTTATAATTTTGACATACGGTCATGCCTCATAACAACAAAGATATATTCTGAGAAGTGCATCAGAACCCAAACTTAGATGGTATAGCCTTCTACAGTCTGAGGCTATGTGGTATAGCCTATTGTTCCTAGCCTATATAGCATGTTACTGTACTCTATAGCTGAGCAAGTATGATATATTGGTAAATATTTATGTATGTAAACGTAGAAGAGGTACAGTAAAAATAACAGTATAAAAGGTATTTCAAATGGTGCACCTAGATAGGGGCTTACCATGAATAGAGCTTGCAGGATTGGAAATTGCTCTGAGTAAGTTAGTGGTGAATGAATGTGAAGACTTGGGACGTTGTTGTACAGTGGTGTGGATTAGAAACATTGTACATCTGGACTACATTAAATTTATTTTTAGAAAAGAACAATTGGGCGGCACCTGTGGCTCAAGGAGTAGGGCGCCAACCCCATATACCGGAGGTGATGGGTTCAAGCCCAGCCCTGGCCAAAAACCGCAAAAAAAAAAAAAAAAGAACAATTGGCCTATAATGTTACAGTGTCACCAGGCAATAAGAATTTTTCAGTTGCATTATAATCCTGTGGGCCCACCATTGTATATATGGTCCATTATTGACCAAATTGTCATTCTGCAGCACATGACTGTACTTTGAATTTGGGTCTTTTTCTAGGCCAACAATACATGTGATATTTAACATTGTATTGTAAAATAGGCTTCATGTTAGATGATTTTTGCCCAACTATAGGCTAATGTAAGTATCCTGAGTACATTAAGGTAGGCCAGGCCAAACTGACGTCAGTAGGTTAGGTATATTAAATACATTTTTGCTTACGGTATTTTCACTTTACCATGGGTCTATCAGGGCATAACCCTACCATAAGTCGAGGGGCATCTGTATGTCAGTGAATGGCAGTTCTCTCACTGACAGTAGAGATCTTCCTCACTGGCCAGGTATGGTGGCTTATGCCTGTAATCCTAACACTATGGGAGGCTGAGGTGGGTGGATTGCGTAGCTCAGAGTTCAAGACAAGCCTGAGCAAGAGCGAGACCCCCCATCTCTACTATATATTATATATATAAAAAAAATAAAAAATACAGCTCTAACTCACTGTGTCAGGGGGCAGCAGAAAGAACATGCTATTTCTAGCCAGTGACTTGCAGAGGATCCATATTGTACAACTGGATCCAGAAGCCTTGGGAAACATTAAGAAGCTCTAGCTGTCTTGCCCAAATGTGCAGGAGCATAAAGACCTACAGATGAGAAGCCAAACTTGACAGACTAGGCCTTCACTGGGCACCTCTGGAACCCTGAAGAGATTTCTTCCCTTCAGGCTGTTACATTCCAGAGCAGGAAACGGGGTTATTCTTGAGGAATTTGAGAAGGGGGAAGATATGCTATTCCCATATCAGTTATATAAAGTTTTTTTGTCATCCGACACACACCGAAAAACAATTGTCTGGCTCTATAAAACTGACTACTGTCCTTTATTGAACAGAAACAAGCTGAAAGCTGGATATTTAATGTCTGTGGAGTCTTCTGAGGGTTTCCTGGATGAAGTTGGATCCCAGGCGCTAGTTGCTGGCTCTTACATCCCACCATCCAGAGTCCTTCAGGAGATTGATTCAGTGGCTGATGATGATGTCATAAATGTAAGCAAATAACAACTTAGGATTTAGCCTCAGAGTACCTTAATGATCCAATTGCAGAAAGAATGCATAAGCGTCCTGGGGCTGTGTATGTCATTCTTGTGTTTAGTTCCTGTCTATCTAGTGGGGAGGCAGGAGAGCACTTCCCCATTAGTTTTTCCTGAAAAAATCAAGAGTGTTTGGGGTTTGTATCTTCCTCATTCAAATAAATTACCGTTAGGTTAAGCCATTTTAAATTCTTTGAGGTCAAGAAGAGTTGGATATTGGCAGTTTCATAGGATTCTAAACTAATTAGTAAAGTTTGCTATTTTTCTCTTCACCCTCAAGATACAAACTCTGTCCTACCATATACTTCATCCAACACCTCAGGATTTTCTTTACCTTTTTCAACCTAAGACATTCTCCTACACTTGCTGCTTTTTTTTTTTTTTGGCACATGTATTATTGTTCCCTACAAGATTGAGTTGTTTTAAGGGCAAGGACTATGTCTTATATTTCTTGTTCCCTGCTTCACCTACCAAGCATGTAAACTACAGAATCAGCTCTTAAGTGGATTTTCCCAGTCCTTTCTACATTAAAAATACCAATTCACCTTCCATCACTGAAGTCTCACCCATCTTCTCACCAGTAGGTCTTCCTGTGTAGGGACAATAGGGTTAGAAAAAACAAGTATTTCAAGATCACAACCCTGACTGGATTTCCCTTGGCCCCTAAATTCATTATTACAATACTCTTCCAGTGACTACCACTCATCTTATATGCCATCATTATGGAAGTCCCATCAGGACTCCCATACCTCTGCCTCCAACACCATCTGTTCTCTATTTTTTAAAAATGGTGGCCTGAGATAATATGGAGGCTGCTGCTCTAACACGACCTGCCTCGTGGTATTACACTTAACCTAAACAAGTGGCTTTGAACTTGATGTAGTGGCACAAAGAATACTAGGCTATAAAGTTTGACTATTAAGTGAATAGTCAATGTATTTTTATGGATCCAGATAGTTTGGCATTGTACTACAGAAATGGGAAAGTACAGCCCTGCTCCCCTATTTGGCAATGTCAGTGTATTTGCTTCAGTCCCTTTTTAACAGCTGCCCACTTATCTAGAGCACTGCCCTTGTTCAATTAGTTATATATTATATATATGGTGGAACCTTCAGAAGAACAAAAGTTTTCCCTCTACATTGTCACATATTGAAGTAAAGCACCAGCTGTCTCATACTTAATTTTCACAAGAAACTGTTACAGAATTGCTTGCTTAAAATGTTCTATCCATAAACTCTTGAAATGACAAAATAAGTTAAGTTCCTCTACTTGATGACATTTATTGTTATTTCTGTTAACTTTGTCTGTTTATCTTGTTTAAAGGCTGCAAAGAAGTTTGTTTCAGGCCAGAAGTCAATGGCAGCAAGTGGAAATTTGGGACATACACCTTTTGTTGATGAGTTTTAATACTGAAGCACATATTACAAGAGAGAGCTGAAAGTCTACTATATTTACCTTTTTTTTTTTTTGAATAAGGTAAAATATCTTAAAGTATAAATTCTTTCCAACTGGCCTAAAGTCAATAAAGCATTCTGCTTAAATGTTGTCTAGCATTTTTCCTAATCATTTAATCAAATATTATATGTTATGATATAGATACTATAAAAGATACAGAAATCTAATTGAGTACAAAAGCATCAGAAACTATTAAATTTAAGGTCAAGTGGCTATCAGGGTAAATAGTTCCAGATAATTATTGGTTGCTTTTTAAGATAAAAGCAAGTTCAAGCCAGGCGCAATGGCTGATGCCTGTAATCCCAGCACTCTGGGAGGCTGAGGCAGGTGGATCACCTGAGCTCACAGGTTCCAGAACCTTTCTAAAAGCGAGACCCCCATCTCTAAAAATAGCCAGGCATTGTAGCAGGCGCCTGTAGTCCTAGCTACTCTGGAGGCTAAGGCAAGAGAATTGCTTGAGCCCAAGTGATTGAGATTGCTGTGAGCTATGAGGCCACATCACTCTACCAAGCAAAATGAGACGCTGTCTCATTAAAAAAAAAAGGCAAGTTAAATCTGTCATTTGGGATATAATGTTAAATAGTCTGGTTTTTACCTGCTTTTGCCTTCTTTGTAATAGAATTGTTTCTGGAAAACAAACTTCTTATCATATCCTGTATTCCCATTACTTTTTTATATGTCTTGATTTATCTTCATTGGCAGAATTTTATTTTTCTCTCCTGTCTCTCCCTTGTCTGTTTCTATCCTGTCTTTTTCAGTTAGTTAACTCTCAATACAACATTCAAAGTAAAACTAGGGCTGAAAAGGGGGGAAAACATGTGAACAGCTAGCCACAGAATGTATCCCTATTATTAAAGTAGGGCACTTGAAGCTGGGGAGCAGGAAAGTGTTGATTAGATCTCAAGACTTAGAAAAAGAAAGTCCCTCAACGTTAGGATGTAAAGGAATAAGAAAAAGAAAAAAGAAACTAAATATCTAAAGAAAAAATGTGATATTTACCTTAAGTGAAGTTCTCTGCTATGTTTAGACATTATGATACTAGGTTCCGCTACTGCATTTTCTAAAAGATGAGAAATTCTTCACAGAAAAGACAGTCTTCGATGATCTGAATTGTGTTGCTATTTTGAGAATAAGATTTGTGAGACCTGCAAGACTCCAGGGAATTCTAATCACTTTAAAGGTCTGTGAAGGCTTTGCAATGTACATATTTCTGTAAGTATAGCAAGCTTCCATATAGTGATGAACAAAAATTGTGTGATTTTAAGGTAAGTGCTTGTATGATCACAGATTTACAAACAACTGCCTAACCAATGTTTGATACTGGTTGACCTTTGCCCTTTTCAGCTTGGGCATAGTCTTCCAGCCAGAAGGCATCTGAGATAGAGGAAGCCGAGGAGGAGGAGCTTATGTTGCCATGCTTCGCCATTGTCCAGTATGGAGAAGGAGCTCTCATTTCTGTCTTTTGATCTCTGTGAATTGTCACATCAGAGTTAATGTCTTTTCCTACACTAATAGTACGGTTCTTCTTTTTATATCTATGCCAGTCACTGGAGATGGATATTGGTCTCCCTGCAGGGAGATGCCCAGTTGACCGTGGATATCTATAATATTTAAGTCTTTTATCTGAAACTACATCTTCATTATCATCACTGCTTGTAAGAGCTTCATCGTTTTCCTTCCCAGTTTTCATTGGTGTGCTGAAATGAAACAAATAGTGAATGAAGGATTCTTAATGACTGAACACTTGTGATCACCAAACAAGAGGTCTTAAAACCTACTTTGACTAATAAAAGATAAGATACAAGTTAGCTTTAGCACTACCTTTTTGTGTTGTTGAAGTCTTTCTATTTTTAAAAGTACTTTTAATTTTTTTTCCATTCCTAAAGAGAAATCAAATTCTCCCCTAAATTATTCCACACTACTTTAAAAAGCTTTGTATAGGCTAATGCCAAATTACTGACCAGACTATTGCCAAACTACCAAATATAGGAGGCATTAAAGGGTGGGTCGATATCACTGCAGCTACAGTGACAGGTTCAACCTGACCACCTCCTCCTGAGAACTCTGTTCTCATGGGTCACACAATAATAACAGAAAATTACTGATTTTCAGAAGAGGCAAGAAAGAGTGCCTCAGGGATGTTCAACATGCTAGCCATTCAAAAGTCTTTCTTTTATTCTCCTGACACTGCCACACAGAGCATCATTCTTTGCCTCTCTTTTAGGTTTACAGATGTGAATTTGAAGAGCACCCTTATACTCACCTGTCTCTTGTCATTCACTATTCCAGTTCTTTCTCTTCTAGAAAAGCATTAGAGGCTTTTTTTATTTCTTTCCCCAACTACTGGCTTTCTCGTTTGTAGAAAATTAGGTGATGCTTGCCTGCCAGTAACTACAGGCCTCTGAACTTTGCTAATGCCTGCAGTGCCTGCAGTACCTGCACTTGCTCTTACTGTCCAGAACAAATGTTGTCACCTGCTTGCCCTCATCCCAGGGCTATTGCCCAGTAGAACCCAAAACAGATACTTCTTTTTTTTTTTTTTTTTTTGACAGAGCCTCAAGCTGTCCCCCTGGGTAGAGTGCCGTGGCATTACAGCTCACAGCAACCTCCAACTCCTGGGCTCAAGCGAGTCTCCTGCCTCCGCCTCCCAAGTAGCTGGGACCACAGGCGCCCACCACAACGCCCGGCTATTTTTTGGTTGCAGCCGTCATTGTTGCTTTGGCAGGTCCGGGCTGGGGATTCGAACCCGCCACCTTAGGTGTACGTGGCTGGCGCCTTAGCCGGTTGAGCTATAGGCGCTGAGCCAAAAAACAGATATTTCTGATTACATTCTGGTACATTCCTCTGGTACATTCTCATTCCCTGACCTGTCAGACTTGTGTTACCACTAGTACTCTTAGCAGTCTGCCTATTTTATTTGCTTCCAAGAATTCGAACAGCTTTCCCTAAAGTTTGTCTCTTCTCAGCCAGGCATGATGGCTCACACCTATAATCCTAGCACTCTGGGAGGCAGAAGCAAGTGGATTCCTTGAACTCAGGAGTTCAAGACCAGTCTGAGCAAGAGCAAGACCCTATCTCTATCAAAAATAGGAAAATGAGCCAGGCATTGTGGGTGCCTGGAGTTCTACCTACTTGGGAGGCTGAAGCAAGAGGATCTCTTTAGCTTAAGAGTTTGAGGTTGCTGTGAGCTATAATGTCAAAGCACTCTACCCAGGGCTATAGAGATTCTGTCTAAAAAAAAAAAAGTATCTAGGGACTTGACTAAAGACTAGAATAAATAATGCTCTGTGTTAAATTACTTTTCAGCTCCCACAGAATTTTAAGAACCCAGAAGAGTAGTCACTCAGAGCAAGAAGGATAAACGTGGGCATTAGCAGGGTGCAATAACTTATTTTTTTTTTGAGACAGTCTCACTTTGTCACCCCCAGTAGAGTGCTTTGGTGTCACAGCTCATAGCACCTCTAACTCAGTGGTTCTCAACCTTCCTAATGCCTCAGTCCTTTAATACAGTTCCTATGGGTCGTGACCCACAGGTTGAGAACCTTTGCTCTAATTCTAATCGCTTGGGCTTAAGTGATTCTCTCGCCTCAGACTCCCATGTAGCTGGGACTACAGGTGCCCACCACAACACTCAGCTGTTTTTAGAGACGGGTCTCTTGCTCAGGCTTGTCTTGAACCTGTGAGCTCAGGGCAATCTACCCGCCTCAGCCTCCCAGAGTGCTGCAATTACAGGTGTGAGCCACTGTGCCTGGCCTTAAAGCCTGAATTCCTAACCATTTGATTATAGAATAACTGTGTTCTAAGCATGTTCATTAGACGGGAGCTCGAGATTCAGAATATTAAAATCTAAGTATGGCAAATTGACCATTTAAAAAGCAAAAAGAAGGCTCAGTGCCCATAGCTCAGTGGTTAGGGTGCCGGCCACATACACCAGGACTGGCAGGTTCAAACACAGCCCAAGCCTGCTAAACAACAAAGACAATTATAACAAAAACGTAGCTGGATGTTACAGCAGGCACCTGTAGTCCCAGCTACTTGGGAGGCTAAGGCAAGACAATCACTTAAGCCCAAGAGTTTGAGATTGCTGTGAGCTGTGACACCACAGCACTCTACCGAGGGCAACATAAGATTCTCCAAAATAAGTAAATAAAAAGCAAGAAGAGGCTCAGCGCCTATAGCTCAACCGGCTAAGGCGCCAGCCACGTACACCTAAGGTGGCGGGTTCGAATCCCCAGCCCGGACCTGCCAAACAACAACGACGGCTGCAACCAAAAAATAGCCGGGCGTTGTGGCGGGCGCCTGTGGTCCCAGCTACTTGGGAGGCGGAGGCAGGAGACTCGCTTGAGCCCAGGAGTTGGAGGTTGCTGTGAGCTGTACCACGGCACTCTGCCAAGGGGGACAGCTTGAGGCACTGTCTCAAAAAAAAAAGGCAAGAAGATACACAGAGAATACCACAATTTATGAGGCTAAACCCACAAACTTAAGGAATAACAAACACGTTTTCAATCCCTTTTTTTTTAAGACAAATTGTTCTTACATTGAGATTTTCTGAATCGCTTTGCAGGACTCTAAATCAAGGATAAAGAAAATCACACAATTTAAGACTAGCAGCTCTCAGTAAAAATGACTCAATACCTTAGTAGAGAGGTAAACTTTCTTTTTCTTTGAGAAAGAGTCTCTGTTGCCCTGGGTACAGTGCTGTGGCATTATAGCTCACAGCAATCTCAAACTCTTGAGCTAAAGAGATCCTCTTGCCTAAGCCTCCCAAGTGGCTGGGACTATAGGCACCCGCCACAATGCTGGGCTAGTTTTTTTATTTTTAGCAGAGATGGGTATCACTTTTTCTCAGGCTGGTCTTGAACTCCTGAGCTCAAGCAGTCCACCTGCCTCTGCCTCCCAGATTACTAGGACTACAGGCATGTGTCATTGCACCCAGCCTATTGATATTTTTTTGAGTGCATCTCAGTAAGCAGAGGTGCACAACTACAACAGTAGTGCTCAGAAATCTTGACAGAAGGGCCAGGCGTGGTAGCTCACACCTGTAATCCCAGCACTTGGGAGGCTGAGAGGCTGGTGGATTGCCTGAGCTCACAGGTTCAAGACCAGCCTGAGCAAGAGTGAGATCCTGTCTCTAAAAACCAGCCAGGCATTGGCTTGGTAAATAAAGTACCAACCATGTACACTGAGGCTGGTGGGTTTGAACCCAGCCCAGGCCAGCTAAACAGTAATGACAACTGCAACCAAAAAATAGCTGGCATTGTGGTGGGCTCCTGTAGTCCTAGCTACTCAGGAGGCTGAAGACTAGAGAATAGCTTAAACTCAACAGTTTGGGCAGCGCCTGTGGCTCAGTGGGTAGGGCGCCAGCCCCATATACCAAGGGTGGCAGGCTCGAACCCAGCCCTGGCCAGCTAAAACAGCAGTGGCAACTGCAACAAAAAATAGCCGGCCTTGTGGCGCGTGCCTGTAGTCCCAGCTATTCAGGAGGCTGAGGCAAGAGAATCGCTTAAGTCCAAGAGTTGGAGGTTGCTATGAGCTGTGACACTACGGCACTCTACCGAGGATGACAAAGGGAGACTCTGTCTCAAAAAAAAATCCCAACAGTTTGAGGTTGCTGTGAGCTATGGTGCAACAGCACTCTACCAAGGTAACAAAGTGAGGCTCTGTCTAAAAAAAAAAAAAAAAAAGAAATCCTGACAGAATTATTAAGAACCAGTCTTGCATCAGAGTACTCTCAAATTCTACATGCTCTTAGGTTCTACAGCACATTTCCACATATAACTGATCCTCAGAAGAGTCCTTGTTATTCTAGTATTATATATAAAGAAATAACCTCTCAGATTATTAGGTGGTTTGTCTGAGATCCAAAGCTGCATTTCAACTTACTTTTCTTTTTGAAACAGTCTTGCCGTATTGCTTCAGTTAAGAGTGCAGTGGTGTCAGCCTAGCTCACAGCAACCTCAGACTCCTGGGCTCAGCCTCACAAGTAGCTGGGACTACGGGCACACATCACCCTACCTGACTGACCAAGGAAGGAGGATCCTTGCGCCAGGAGTTAAAGGTTATGATGAGCTGTGATGGCACCACTGCCCTCCAACCTGAGACAGCAAGACCCTGTCTCTTAAAAAAAAAAAAAAAAATGTACATGTTTGGAGATAATACAACTTGAAAGTGATTAGTATATGGATAGCATATAGAGACCATAGGCATCAAGGAGATTGAGAGAAGAGTCCTGAGGAGTAAACCTTGAGGAACCCCAAAGTGTGGTAAAAAGAGACCAAGAGGAAGTGACCAGAGGTAGCAGGAGAATCAGGGGAGTGTGGCACCACAGAAGTCTGGGGAAGGTGGTATTTCAAGACAAGTGGCAGTGGGGAGTTGCGAAGTATCTAATCCTGCTCAGAAGCCAAGTAAAACAAAGACTCAAGAGTTCCCTGGGGTCAGCAGTATGAAGGTTTGTGGATGGCCACGGAAAAGGCTCTCAGGGTGAAAAGAAAGCCCAGACTGAGCTGGGCTGAGGAATGTCTGAGGAACACTGAATTGAGCTAGGCTGAGGAATGTCTGGGGAACACTGACGTGACCTGAGGAAATGGAGATGCCTAATACAGCTCAGTACTTTCAGCAAGCTGGGAGGGAAGTGAAGGACAGGGCAGTGTCTGGGGGGGACAAGCAGACAGGATGGAGTTAAGGGAGGGTTTAAGGTTGAGAGAGGCTTTAAAAGGCTTAAATGTGGGCAATGCCTGTAGCTCAAAGGAGTAGGGCACTGGCCCCATATACTGGAGGTGGCAAGTTTAAACCCAGCCCCAGCCAAAAACTGCAAACAAAAAAAAAAAGGCTTAAATGTTATTGAGAAAGACCCAGAAAGAAAAAACTTAAATACACAAAAAAGAGGAAATAGGATTCACAATTAACATTTTAAGGACTTAGGAAAGAGGGGCAAAATGCAAGTAGGTGTGGGACATAGTTCCTAACAGGATTTAACTCCAAGTTGCCTTTGTTGCACCACCTCATATTAGGTACTACAGATTGTCCATTCCAAAAAAACAATAAATTATTTTGGCAGTGTCCCAACCCCTCCCACCATGCTCCTTACTATTAGATAATTCTCCCATTAAACCAGGACCCTGTGCCTCGTAAACGCTGGGGTTATGTATTATAACAAAGAATTCCTAAAATGAACTACTTACTGTGATACTGGGAATTTGGTCTCAGGGATTAAATCATGTATTTCTTGCCATTCTTGGGGTATGTCAATAAAATCTCGGTAAACCTTGATTTGTAGCACTGTTCCTATGGTGATTTGATGCAAAAGCTTTAAAAATTCTCGAAGAGTATATCCTAACACATTGGCATGACCAACACTAATCAGAACATCACCTGAAAAGGAGGGGAAAAAGTTATCAGTAGAACTAAGATAATATCTTAAATGGGCCATGTTGATCTTTGGCTTTACTGTGATGTATTTTATGGGTTCATATTGTTGATTAATTTTGAATCAAAACCAAGCATCAGCTCTTATTGACTAAAGATGTTTATCTCCTTAACATGTGGCCTTTGCATAATGAAGAATCCATGCAAGACGTTTCTTAATACCAATATGATGGTAGACATTATATCATGTTTTTGAGACATTTCCAAAGTTCTTGGTGTGAGAGGCTAAAAACCCACTTATAATCTGAACCATCTCTTAGGTTTCTAAAAATCTATTGGTTTCAAATCAAATGAATGGCTATTACTGGGAAAGAAAACCCACTTACACTAAGTGAGAAATAAATGACCTGCTTTCTATTATACCTGCCTGGCAATTTCCAGTGCCCGCCACCATTAATAGATCATATTAAACATAAAGCCTTTCATTTTATTAATTTTCTGCCTAAATCCAATATTAGTTGAGCAAATAGTTCTATATGTAACATTGAGCAATTAGGCATGCTTTGATTAGACTTAAGATATGTAACCAGTTAGTATGTGGGTTCACATAAATTTGATAGATAGGTCCTCTAGGGCAGTGGTTCTCAACCTTCCTAATGCCATGAACCTTTAATACACTTCCTGTGGGTCACAACCCCCTGGTTGAGAACCGCTGCTCTAGGACAATGCAGGACAAGGAGGACTGCATGATGGTTAACCATGGAGCTTCTGAGGCCCCAGCAAAGGGGAAGAGGACTACTTCTTGGCAACAAATGTTCAGATTTCCAAATTGAAGGACTTAAAAGAGCAATTATTCACTTGCACTAACTTCCCCACATCCCTACCCCCAGCAGCCAAAGCATGGACCAGCCACTAGGCTCTCCCACCTAGGTCACTGAACCTGGAGCAGGAAATACAGAGGAGTGACGGGAGAATCTGGTTTCCAGGGGTATTTATATGTAACCCTTTGTTCTCACCATTTTCCATGCCTGGTTCTCCAGGCTTTCTGGCAGTTCTGTCACACAATACCCTAAATGCAGTGCCTTAACAGAACTGTTTTCTGTTGCTTACAGTGAAGAACCTTGGCTGCTAGAAGGGCATTCACCTAGACTTGAGGAATACCAGGAGTTTACTTTCTCAGAACAGACTCACATTGGGCAAAAATGTTAATCTTCAGGTCTTAGTACTGACATCCTGCCAAATAGTAAAATGGGGACTTCATAGCTGACATTGGATGAGATGACCTGATGATGTTCCAAAGGATATTTAGCTTTCTGTGAGTGGGAAGCTAAGGATTCTCCATCATTCCAAGATAGCTAAAGCCCAGCCTCAGAGAAAAAAAAGGTCAAGAAGAAGCACCTTCTCTGATGCAGCACCCACCAGGCTTAAACCAAGAATTGTACTGCTCCGAAAAAGCCTCCAAGGGGCCAGGCATGGTGGCGCACGCCTGTATTCCAGCACTCTGGGAGGCTGAGGTGGGAGAATTGCTTGAGCTCAAGAGTTTGAGACCAGCCTGAGCAACAGCGAGACCTTGTCTCTACTAAAAATAGAAAAAATAGGTAGTGTGGTAGGCATCTATCTGTTAGTCCCAGCTACTCAGAAGGCTGTGGCAAGAGCATTGCTCAAGCCCAAAAGTCTGAGGTTGCTGTGAGCTATGATGGCACAGCACTCTACCGAGGGTGACAAAGTAAGACTCTGTCTCAAAAAAAGAAAAAAAGAAAAAAGGAAATAAAATAAAAATAGAAAAAGTAGCTAGTCACTGTGGTGGGCTCCTGTAGTCTCAGTTACTCAGGAGTCTGCGGCAAGAGGATGGCTTAAGCCCGAGTTTGAGGTTGCTGTGAGCTAAGACACTATAGCACTCTAACCAGGGTGACAGAGTGAGACTCTCACAGAAAAAAAAAAGCTTCTAAGGATGTCAAGGCAAATTTCCATAGTTCCAGATCCTATCAGAAACAAAAGTTCCCAGAATTCAAGAAAATGAATACTTAAAGGAGTGGGGAGAAAGCCCTTCTACTTTGGTCTTAAAAAATAGCTAGGGGTAAAAAATTAACCAAGTATCTGAAGCTAACTTCAGAATGAAACAAGGCTACCTGCAGACTGTGCGGCATGAAACAGCTGCTCATCCTACGGAGGTTAATTACAACAGCAAAAAATAACCCTCGCTGGAGGAGCTTACTTGCCTTCTGTTAAAAGGAGTGTTTATAGCTGAAAGCTATGGCTTGGCATTCAGCTTAATTATGTTGTAATAGGGTGACTTTTATCAAGAGGGCAGAAAATAAACAGCTTAATTCCCTGACCATTCTGGCTATAACCCAAACGTGTCAGTGTATGAATGTGATTACTCTGGCAATAGATATTAACATTGCCCTTCATAGAGAAACACCAACCTCATTACACATTTTTTTTTCTGCTTTAACAGGCTGTAGGAATGACATTATATAAACTTCGTCTTGATCACATATATTAAATCAACTTTATAGCAGCCAAGCCACTGCTGAATAATATATTTTGTTTATTTTTCTTCCTCTCTCCCAATTAGATTGTAAGATGCATGTTGGTAGGGCCCATATCTGTCTGGCTACACCCTCCTAGATAACATTGATTGAATGCATGTGGCCTGGTAAGGATAATAGCCAGTACTTGACTGCTATTCACTGTCAAAGCCACATTCATTTCTTAAGACTTTTTGGCTATTAGAATCTGTTAAAGCCACCCTGGTCAAAGGAATTTAAAGTTTAGCTAGAATAAACTAATACTAAACTAAATTAGGAAATCAAGATGAAAACCCAAGCGGGAGAGAAATTCAAAGCAGGTGGATGACAAATAACGGGGTTGAGAAGCAATGGAGTCAAAGAAATAGCAAGTTTTTAATGATTATCACCTCCCAAAATCTCAGAATCACTGTTGAAAATGTCTGAATTACAGAGACCTTGAAGAGAATTGGTGGACTTGTCACAAGTAGATTTGAGGCTCTGGACTTCCTCTATATTAAAATCTCTTTTCTAGTTATTAGGCTATTGGCTAGAGAAGTATGGGCTTCCTAAGTAGAACTGGGTTCAAATTCTAGCTTTGACCACAGACTTAACTGTGACAAGTTATTTCATTTATATTTTATTATCTGTATTTCTGGAATGCTGCAAATATTAAATTAGGTAATAGATGTGAAAACACCTTGCACAATGCCTGGGACAGTTACTTGTTATTCATTTATTAAGCACAGACATAATAAATGTACCAATGCTACAAGTAAGTCCTGGATTTTTTCTCTTTTCAAGTCAGGGTCTCCTCTCTCACCTGGGCTAAAGTACAGTGGTGTCATCATAGCTCACAGTGAGCTCAAACTCCCAGGCTTAAATGATTCTCCTGCCTCAGTCTCCCAAGTACCTGAGACTATAGGTATACTCCACCACGCCTGGCTAATTTTTCTATTTTCATACAGATGGGGTCTCACTTTTGCTCAAACGGGTCTCAGAACCCCTGAACTGAAGCAATCCTCCCACTTCAGCTTCCCAAAGTGATAGGGTTACAGGTGTGAGCCACCACGTTTGAGCTTAAAAGATGAATTTAAGGCTGCCTCTGATCTCAAAAAGCCCACTAACTGAGGCTCCATCATGATATTCTGGGTAACAGGCATAAAAGCATTCTCCTTGAGCACCCCAGAGTGTGAACCTGGATCATGGACAAACATCTATCACTTGACCCCAGAGAAGCTGAGGAGAAGCAGCAGAAAAGCCCATGGGACCTGAGCTGCGTTCTTTCAGTCTGCGAATTCCAGAACTCTCCCTGTGGTGATTTGTTTGCCAGCACCAAGTAGTGACAAGTTGGAGAAACACTTTGAATTTTGAGGTAAGGTAAACTGTTTTATAAAAACATGATTTAACTACTTTCTTCTTTAATCCATTGCTTCCAACCCTAGCTGCAAATTAGAATCACATAAAGCGCTTTTAAGATGTAAACTGCCCTATCCCAATCCCAGAACAATTGAATCAGAACCTGTGGGGAGATGGGGCCTAGTTGTCTTAGTTTTAAAAGCTCCCCAGGTGATTCTGATAGGTAACCAGGGTTGCAAACCCATGCATCAATCCACTGGGGCACTTATCACTGAGAGGTTTAGGGATAGAGTCCTGCCAGAGTCTGAAGGAGAGAAGGTCAGTCCAAGGATTAAGGATAGGCTTTATTTTAAAGGAGCAGAATGGAGTCTGGCCAGAAAATAGCTCAGCTCATACAGTTTCAAGGGACCTTTATTAGTGCAGTTGGAATGTGGGAGGGGGCCATAAGAGGTGAGGGAAGTCTATCTTTTCTGCAGAGTGAAAGATGCTGTGTCTGAGACTGATTTTAGAATTACCACCTTCCACAAAAGGTGTTAATCTTGCACAAAGGCCTTATCTCTAGTGCCACCCAGGACAAGGGTAGGAGATCCTGATGCTTCCCAGGAACCCTAGCCCTAAAGCATTTCAGGAGGGTAGGGAGAGAGGTTCCTGTGACAATGCCATTTGGTCTCTGACCTGCTTTTTATCACTAGCTGTCCTCCCAGGATGGCTATACTCTTGTCAGGATCATGAGGATTTACAGGAGTATGGGAAGGCGGGTTGCTGTAATCAAGCAATTTGGCTTCTGGCCTGCTTTCTTTCTCTACCTATCTCCCAAATTGCTGTACTTTTGTCAGAGTCCTGAGGATTTCTTCCCCACAATCACAATCATCTTTTATTAAGAAAAAATGCCAGGTGCGGTGGCTCACACTTGTAATCCTAATACTCTGGGAGGCCAGTTTGCTTGAGCTCAGGAGTTCCATACCAGCCTAAGCAAGAATGAGACCCTGTCTCTACTAACAAAAAATAGAAAAACTGAGGCAAGATGATGTCTTTATGCTAAGGCTGAGTGCAGGGACACAGAAACGAGTGCACAAGTCCCACCCAGAAAGGAATGAGTGCATCAATCCCAACCCCCAAACCCTTATATTCCCACTCCATCTTAACCCACATGCTGACTTCATTTTCGAACTCAGCCCACTCACACCCGAGTGAATAAAGGCCACATTGCCTACACAGAACCTGGACTCCGTTTTCTTTTGTTCATGTCTCGGAATAACTTCTCACTTTAGCGCAAGAGTTTGGGGTTACTGTGAGCTGTGATGATGCCATGGCACTCTACCCAGGGAGACAGACTGAGACTCTGTCTCAAAAAAAAAAAAAAAAAAAAAGACAATAGTATAGAGAATCTCTAATAACAGCCTAAGAAAAATTACTGCGAATATTTCTATAGCTTTTTAAACTTTGGTTTTAAAAGCACTTTCATAAATATTATTTCATCAAATCCTAGCAACATCTGACAAAGATGGGACTATCCCAAATCGTAGTTGAGATGACTAAGGCGTGAAAGGTTAAGTAACTTTGCCCAAGGTCATAGAACTAGAAAGTGGTAGAGTATAGGTCCGAATTCAGGGCAGCTAACACAAAATGGCTTTTGTTTCTTACCACTTCACCATTCCATTGGGCCTTACCCACTAAAAGCACAGCACTAGGCCCAGGCCAGGACATTTTGAACTGGATGGAAAATTCACTCACACAAAGAAAAGCAGGGTGGTAATGAGAGGGTTCATATCCCAGTCCTCAGTGTGACTGTGGACAAGTTACTAAATACATGATTCCCTGTCTATAAGATGGTTTAATCAGAGGTTATGAGAGTGAAATGAGATCATGTATCTAAATGTCAGTAATTAATATAAAAGAAAAAATCTATATGCACAGACAGCATAAGCTCTGTATCAACTATACCTGTGTTTGTAGCCCACTCACAAGATGCAGGTGAACCTGGATGTGGAACTCAATCTCCCTAAGCTTCAGTTTGCTCATCAGTAAAAGTGGCTAATAATAACAATTATTATAGGAATTAAGTGAATTAAGACAACCAATAGTGAGAGTTATGTAAGTGATAATGATTGGCTGGCCCACAGGTTCTCAGCCAATGTCATCATGTCCTTATGGTTACACTGAAACCCCATGACTCTAGTCTCCCTGAAGGCAGGTGAGAAGGAGGCAGGGAGACGGGTGGTTGGGAGGCATGAGGACACCAAAGTCACCTGGCTGGAGTTTCCCGTCCTGAGCTGCAGCCCCCTTCTTAATGAGGTGAGTGATCTGGAGGTAGGGCCCATGCTGAATGAGGATCAAGCCTATTCCCAGGCTGCTCACAGTGAGTTTGGTCTGCAGAGTTTTGCTCAAGTTGTGCACAGATGACTTGACCTTGCTGCTGACACGTTTGTCTGATATAAAGAGGAGAACTTGTTTCAGTCCTTCACCAAGAGAGCAGCATGGCAATACTCAATGGGGTTCTGAAGCCAATCCCTGGGACAGTTATTTAACCTCCCCATTCCTCAGTTTCCTTGTCGGTAAAATGAGGACAATAAGTGTCCACATTGAAGAGCTGTTCTGGGAGTTAATTAAAACCATTAAAGGGATATTGCACAGAGTCTGGCATATAATAAGTGCTTCATAAATAATAGTTGTTACTATTGATTTGTTGCTATTCACTTAACAAATATTACTGATGCAGGCAGTGTGCTAGAGTTTCTTGCAGTAAGCCAAACAGATGTGTTTCTTGCCCTCATGATCTTACAGCCTAGTGGAGGAGACATATGAAGTCATAATTATGTTGCTGAACTCATCCTAGAAAAAGTGCTACAGTAGGCTGGGTGCGGTTGCTCATGCCTGTAATCCTACCACTCTGGGAGGCTGAGGCAGGTGGATTGCTTGAGCTTAGGAGTTTGAGACCAGCCTGAGCAAGAGCAAGATCCCATGTCTACTAAGAAAAATTAGCTGGGCATAATGGCACACACTTGTAGTCCCAGCTACTTGGGAGGCTGAGGCAAGAGGATTCCTCAAGCCCAAGAGTTTGAGGTTGCTGTGAGCTATGACATCACAGCACTCTACCAAGAGCAATACAGTGAAATTTTGTCTCCAAAAATGAGACAGAGAGAGAGAAAGAGAAAAGAAAGAAAGGAAGGAAAACATGGGGAAAGTGCATACCTCATTGCTGAATATCACTATGGACACCTTCAAAGTACTCCCCTTGGGAAGCTATGCACAGATCTCAGCACTTAGTCCACCCTTCAAAGCAATTTTGGAACTCTTTTTCTGAAATGACCATCAGAGCTGTCATTGTACAAGGCCTGACAATTAAGTTCTCGAACTTGCCACTGTGCACTTACGCTGGTAGCACAGTAAGATTTCATAACCTTGGTGTCTCACAGCTGTGTTTGTGTTGATGTGTGGCAGTGTCTTGCTAAATGGCATTCATCAGTGCTGTTGTGTGTTTTTGCATGCTCATGATGTCATATACTAGGAAGCTCAGTTCCAAAAGTCAGCAAGGTTAAGTGAAAAAAGCCAGACTCAAAAGCCTCCTTACTGTATGAATCCATTCTCAAAACATTCTCCATACAAAAGGCAAAATTATAAAAACAGATGTGTATGTGTGTGTGTAGAACTGAGGTGGGGGAATGTTGGCTGTAAAGGGGCTGTGGCACGGTAATTTAGAGAGTGGTGAAACTGTCCCTTGATTGTGGTGGTGCTTCAACGTGGGTGTATGCTTGTCAGACTCGTACTGCTGTGCTTTAAAAGGGTTGGGGGGGGGTCTTACTGTATGGAAATTATACCTTAATAAAAGGGCAATAGCGAGAGATTTTCTCCCAGCCCAACAGGGTGATGGTGCCATTTTACAGAGGAGGAAAAGTGAGGAAGGCTTTGTCCCCAAGACATCACCCACTCCCCAGTTACCTTTTTTGGTTTTGCGAGTGCTCCTCTTCATAGCCTCTGGAGGGCGGGAGGCTCCGGAGGGCCCCCCTAGGAGCCGAGGCTCAAGTTGGTCCAACTACCAACAGTTTGGAACCCTGAAAGCTCCGAAGCCAGAGGGAACAGCAGCAACTAGGGGATCGTGAGCTGCGCGCCTCGGGACGGGCACCAGGGGGCGCTGCGCTGCCGCTGCTCAGAGCCGGGCAACGGCGAGGTCGCCCCAAACCTCGGCGTGAGGTTTGCACTCCAGTGTAGTGTATGAAAACATCGGCGAAAAACAAAACTTCCGCGGAGACGGGCACAGTGCCCGACTCACAGTGGCGTCTTCATTCATTCATTCCTTCTCGATGAATCATTGAAATGGGGAGAAGGAGAAAGAGAAAAGCTGTCTGAAAGACGTGAAGTGGTCGATCTGCAGAGGAAGATCACAGCCGGAAGACCATAGGAGATCGTGGAATACCTAGAAGACCCGGAGAATCCCCTGCCGTGCTCTTTAATAATGGTATTTTTAAATATTGTTACATCAACAGTTCCAGCTGCTTGGGAACTGCACTTTTTTCATGAATGTTTTGAATGAAAAAAGGCTCAAGGGTGGCCTGAAAAAAATGAATCACTATTAAGAGAGGCACTATTAATGCTTCCTTCTTCTCTCCAAAGTAATCTTTCCTCCCACACACATTCACTCATACAACAAGTATTTGCAGGAAAATGCTCTGTGGTTTGTGCTGATACCAGTGATAGGGAACTAGACAAGACAAAGGCTCCATCCTTTTAGAACTTATATTTAAAAAACAGATGAAGTGGATGATTTTAGGAAAATATAAATTATCAAAATTAAATTCTAGAAGAAAGAGAAAATACTGAAAGGCTAAGTACCTGGGAGGGCAGTCCTACTTTCAAAAAGTAGAAACCAACTATAACCTTGATTTAAAATATACGGAAGCATACTGTGTAGCCATAATGTGTGTAACCCCATAATATTCTGAAATACATAAATAAGTAGAAACCAAGCACTATTAGTTGTCAGGTGCTATGCAAAGATTTCTGTGGTGAACCTGGGCAGGTCCCAGCTTATTCTTCTGTTTCTGTGGCTCTGTCCAGACAATAAACCAGAGCAGATTGCTCACTGGATAAATTCTGTGTCACAAAGGCTAATACAAAGGGCTACTTTCAACTTCAAGGAGTCTTCTGCCAATGGTTTCTTGTGACAGATCACCTGTTCTCTCTTCCAAACAGTCCAGCAGGATCTACCCAGATGCAAACCTAATTCTATCACAAACACATCCTTTTCTCCCATCCTTCTATCAGCAGGGGAAGGGGAATAAAGCCCATCAACACTGAAGGTTCTATGATAGAAGTATATCAGTGCCTGGCATGCAGAGAGTCCCTCCATTCCAGGCTGAAAAGCCTCTTTAAAGCAGATGCCAAGGTCATGCTGACTGGTAGAACCGCAGGATATAAACCATCATGAGTGTTGTGTTATGCTTCCCAGAACCCCTTTAGGGATGAATGACCTATATCTCCCACCCACAACCCCTACCCTTGCTGCAGGCTGAAAAGAGCCCCTTGCCCAAGGTCACACCTTCCCTGAGCAGCTAGCATCCAATGACTGGTCCATGCAGGGTCATTCCAGCTTCAGAGCTCCCCACAGGGTCCACTGAATCCCTATCACAGATGTACTTTGGCCAGACTTTGCCCTCTGCCCTATCCTGCTTTCTTCTCCTAATAAACTCCCTGCAATTCAGATTCTGCTTCCTAGAAAACCCAACCCATGACAGCTAGTGTCAATGATTTGAAAGAGCAGATGCTAAGATGGGATTCTGGAGCTAGATCACTCAATGCCCAGGTAATAATGAGGACTCTATCCATGATAGAGGAAGAGCAAAGGTAGCCTTGGGTAGAGGCTGAATATTTTACTAGTAGTAAATGGGATGCTATACCAGGGGAAGGAAGCAAGAGAAATCACCAGGAAGGAAGCTGGCTACAAATATATATAGGGCAGGGATGAACGTTTGGCACCCTTGTGATCCATTTGGTGTCTCTTACTATTTCCTTGCCCCATTTTTATAGTAAATTGACAAATATGACTTCTCAGGCTGTCTCACAGCATGGCAACCAGAGGCTCAGACTTTTCAGGGATGCAGGGCTAAGCCATTCCACTACATAAGCCACCTAGGCCATCAGAGGTGTTGGCAGAGGGTGAGAGGAATCTAGGATTTATAGGAGTAGAGAGAAAAAATGAGCATGTTGGTTATGCCTCAAAATAAGCTGCAGCAGCAGCTGGAGCCATGGTACTAACTTCCTCAGTAGGTTTCACACAGGGAAAATATGCCCCCCAGCTTCCTGACAGTGCCACTCCCAGAACTTAAAAGAAGCAAATGATCTGCACAACACCATGGGGGCATGCTGTAAATGCTGCACTGTGTTCCCTAGGTCCTTCTTTGGGACTATTCCCCAATTACTGGAGTGTTATAGGTCAGCAGATCTCACCCCTCTTGAGGAACTGCCTTTGGCTGAAAAGAGTGGCCTTTCCCAAGGTCATGCTTCATTCCTGAGGTAGCTAGCATCCAACTACTGGCCAGTAGAGGGATATAAGGACTTGACCCCTTTACCCTAACTTAGAGCAACTCAGAGTGGCCAGGCCAGCTTCAGAGTTTCCCTGAGGTCTGCCAAAGCCCTCTGTGACTGCACCCCAGCCTGACTTCTCACTCTGCTCAATCCTGCTTCCTTCCCCTCCACCACAGGAGTTGATCCCGAGAGGCTCTCTAATAAATTTCCTGCACACTAATCAATAGTCTCTTGTCTTAGAGTCAGCTCAAAGGGAACCAATCTGTGAGACAAACTAGATTTAAGCCTTGGCCACAAATGGCTAACCTTTGAATTTAGCTCTTTTGTCTTCTGTAACCCCAGCAATCCCAGGTACACACATGTGATGAATCCACCACACTCTTGGCCCACGTGTAAACTTAACCCCCAGGGAGGTAGTATATTCTTTATCCTGTCAGGACAAAGGCACTCCTTAAAGAGAAGAGTGATCATACAGTCCCTTCCACAGCCTTCCCTGAGGTCCAATCTGGATTCAGCCTCTTATGGCCACAGCCTACCACCCATCACAATAAAGCATGCCATGTTCATGGCCCTTCAACAGCTGTAGAATGGCTATTTATGACTTTGGGCTGCCAGCATAGTTCCCTCCTGGGGCCCTTCTATGCTCTTCTGGGTCCCCAAGGACTTTATGCCATAAGAAGCCTTATAGCTCATCTGTGGAAAGTCCCAGCTGCTATGCTTAAGGGTGGGTGAGAAGATAGGATGTTTCTATTACTGAGACAGAGTGACTCTAGGAGTTAGGTCAGATGCCAGAAAAAGGCCCAGAGAAGTAACATGACTTTCCCAAGGTCAAGTCAGTAGCAGAGAACATTAGGACAGTAGCAGAGAAGACCAAAGAATACAGAATAATGTTCTGTATTCTTTTTGTTCTAGCACACCACCTCTCCTGAGGGTTTGCCTCTACTGAAATCTATACTGAGATACAGAGGAAAAGGGAATTATCTGAGACTGGAAACACTGAAACACCAAGTAACCTGGAAGGCAAGAATAAGACATGGAGCTAAAAACAAGAGATTAATGAACCTGGTTCTTTGTACCCTCAATGAATCCCCAACAATAAAAAAAGGGGGGGATCTGTAAATAGTGTACTTGGCTCCTGCCAACCCCACCCCTATCCTGGTTAGTAGAAGGGATGGGATAGGTGATTACTATGTGTAATGATGTGCAGCCATTGATCTAATAAAATTGTTTTAAATTCCTTTAACTCGAATACTTTAATCCCAGATCCAGAACCATCTGTGGAAGAACAGGCACAGGAAGATCTGGGAAGGATTATCTGGGGAAAAGGAAGAATTTATGTGTGTATTTTTAAAACACAAGAATCAAATCACCATTATTCCACTGAGCTGGTGTTAGAATAGGTGCAAACTGTCCTAACATTTGACCCTAGGATTCTCATCAGTTGTCCAATAGTGAACATCAGTGGATATTATTGGGGAATTTAGCCCCATGTAGTTAGGGTTTCTTCTATTAGTGAACAATGGAAACAGCAGACAGAAGCCAAGAATATTACTTCATTAAACTTCTCTAGTGCTTATTTTAAAAAAGAAAGTGAAGTCCTCTTGCAGTAATGTGACATGCATTATACCTGGATCCTTATTATCTTGTGTCAGTTTCTGTGGCAGAGGAAAAAGAAATTGTGTAATTAAAAAAAAAGAATCTGCCCCTCAAGAGACCAATGTTTGGAAAGAAAAGTCCATAGATTAGCAATCAAATCCTCCCTCCCCAATCTGTGTAATGACATTGATACTCTCTGCTCATTTCTGCAAGGCTGCTGGATTTGGTGGAATTTGAAACTTGCTGAATTTTTGTGGACATGTAGGCATTCCAAAAATAGAGACAGATGTCACTTTTCTGGGTCTTTCTAGAGATGACCTATGTGGCATTTAAGGAAAAAGTGTCTTATCTCCATTTGCTGAATGGAATAGTATCTGGAAAAAAGAAAGGAAGAAAAGAAAACCTCCGCTAGATAGCAAAATTGCAGATGGATAGGTCATCTGTATTGCTAACGAATTATGCAAATGCCTTATATATATATTTTTTTCCTCTTTATCCATCCAATCTAAGATTCTCCTCACATTTCAATTCAGCAAACAGAATCACTAAATATCTGGTTGCTCAGGCCAGAAACTTAGGAATCATTCCTGACTTCTTTATTTCAACTACTCCCCCATTATCAGCAAGTCCTTCCCTCTATCTACAAAACATCCGATCTGTCAATTTTTCTCTGTCTTCATTACTTTCAGTCTAGCCAAAGCAACAGTTCTTTCCCCTGGACTAGTTGGCCCCTTAACTAGTGACCCTGCTTTCACTTTCACCCCTCTCTCTTACAAGCTACACTATCGTACAGATTAAATAAGATCATGGGATTCTCCTGCTGAAAACCCTTTAGTGCCTTACTGCTGTTGG